CAGCCATGTGGATGAGTCACGGCCAATGCTTGGCCAATGTGCTCTCTGTGAAAGCCTGAGAGAGTGTCTTCTCCCCATGTGACTCTCATTAGGCACACTCTATGTCATTGATCACTTTCCTCTTTGGCCCCATAATCTCTTTGATCAGAAAATTTGGGACACTACCGAGGTACATGACGTTACAGTACAAGTTCTCATAGAGACATTGATTATTGAAATTAATATCTTTTGGAAGAATATCAGAGAAGAGGTAAGTGCCCCATGTTTACTGCAATATATATTATGCTTCAAATTAATATATGATATGCAACATTGTCTTCGATTGGCTAAGTATTTTTCTGCATAGGAATAAAAGAATATTTTTTAATGAGAAAACCACTTCCTTCAAGATTTTATTTGTCTCTGAATCCATGAAAATAATTTCTCTCTGGTCTTAACAAAATAATGTAGCACTTGGGGACAAAGATGCAGCCCAGCAGCCCTGCACTGGAGGCCAAGATGGAGAAGACCTCCATGGCCACCATGATCTTCCCCTTAGTGCTGTGGTACACGGGCAGGAAGGTGACCCACACACTACAGAACACCAACATGCTGAAGGTCAGAAACTTGGCTTCATTGAAGGTGTCAGGCAGGTTCCTAGCCAGGAAAGCCACAGTGAAGCTCACCATGGCCAGGGAGCCCAGGTATCCCAGGACACAGTAGAAGGCAGTGAGGGAGCCCTTGTTGCACACGATGATGATGTGACCATGTTCAGAGTGAGCATCTGTGTCAATGTAGGGTGTATTTGTCCCCATCCAGATGCTACAGATAGTGAGTTGGATCAGGGTGCAGAAGGGGATGATGGAGTTTGGTGCCCCTGATAGCAGCAACTGCCTCATTCTTGTGCCTGGGGCAGTGACCTTAAAGGCCAGAACCACAGTGATGGTTTTGGCCAAGACAGTGGAAACAGCTATAGTGAACGCAAGTCTAAATGTGGTCTGTTGGAGGATGCAGGTGGCTGTGCTGGGACGGCCAATGAAGAGCAAGGAGCAGAGGAAACAGCAGGTGAGGGAGATGAGCAGGGTGTGGCTGAGGCCCCTGTTATTCACCCTCACAATAGGTGTGTCTGCATGCTTTACAAATAGTCCAAGAATGACAACCGTGAGGACAGTGAGACTCAGGGCAGAATTGTACCCAGCACGTCTTCATAATTCAGAATATTTGTAAGCTTTTGCAAACAGTGTATTTTCTGACTGTTGGCGTACTGATGATCCGGACACTTTATGCACTGTTCCATATCTAATGGGAAGTTCAAGTTATCATCAGTAGCAGTTGTGTATTTTCTGTTCACATATCCCACTCAAAGAATGTCTCAATTATTTCTGCAAAATTTTCTCCCTCCTTTATTGACAGAACGAATATTGTATAGGGAAGAATTCTGCATTAATGCTGATATCTTCCATGTGGAGAGGTAGGGCGCATTATTTATTCTCCTTATTAATCTTTCATACTTATAAGGAGAATGATACCTAAAGAGAACTATAGGCCAATCACCCTCATGACCATACTTGCAAAAATCCACAATAAAATTCTGGCATATAGAATACAGCAAAACATCAAGAAAATTATGCGCCATGACCAGGTTGACTGCATCCCAGGGATATAAGGATGGTTCAATATATGCAAATCGATAAATGTAATACACTATATCAATAGAGCCAAATCTACAAACCACATGATCATCTCAATTGATGCAGAAAAGGCTTTTGACAAAGTCCAGCACACATTAATGTTCAAGGGCCAACAGAAAATTGGAATTGATAGCCTCTACTTCAATCTGATAAAAGCCATTTATGAAAACTGAATGGGTATCATAATTCTAAATGGGGAAAAATTGAAATCTTTTACTATCAGATCTGGTACAAGACAAGGATGTCCTCTATCACCCATCCTATTCAATATAGTTGTGGAATCACTAGCTAGAGCCATTAGACAAGAGAGATAAATAAAAGGAATAAGAATAAGTAATGAAGAAATTAAATTATCATTATTTGCAGATGACATGATAATTTATTTGGAAGACCAAAAATCTTCACCAAGAAGCTACTAGAATTGATAGACAAATTCAGTAGCATAGCAGGATACAAAGTCAATATCCAAAAGTCAATAGCATTCCTCTACACAGATAACAAACACACTGAGAGGGAAATTAGAGACACAATACCTTTCACAATAACACCACGGAAAATGAAATACCTTGGAACTCATTTAACTAAAGAAATCAAAGATCTCTTCATGGAAAATTACAGTACTCTTACAAAAGAGATCATAGAGGATTTCAGAAAATGGAAAGATATTCCCTACTCCTGGATAGGAAGAATCAACATCGTGAAGATGGCCATACTCCCAAAATTATTGTACAGGTATAATGTAATCCCTATTAAACTACCACCAACATAAATCCCAGACCTAGAAAAATCATTTCTAAAATTTGTTTGGAAGTATAAAGACATAGAATAGCAAAGGCAGTCCTGGGAAACAAAGACAAAGCAGGAAGCATTACAATTCCTGACTTGAAATTATACTACAAATCTACTGTGATAAAATCAGCATGTTTTGGCAACAAAATAGACCTGAGGATCAATGAAATAAATTAAAGGTGCAGAGGACTCTAGCAACACACTCTGCCACCTGATTTTCGACAAAGGTGTCAAGCATGCTTCCTGGAAGAAAGATAGTCTCTTTAATAAATGGTGATAGAAAAATTGGCTCTCTACATGATGAAAACTAAAACTACACAGGTAGATCACCATGCACACAGGTCTATCACAGGTCTATCTAAACTAAGGTCAAAATGGATTGCAGAACTGAACATTAAAAGAGAAACACTAGATCTCCTGTAAGAATGTAGGAGGAACTCTTGAAGACATAGGGGTAGGCAAAGAGTTCATGAACAAAAATCATATCATCCGGGCAACACTCGCAAGAATTAGCAACTGGGACCTCCTCTTATTGAGAAGTTTTGCACGTCAAAAGAAATTACCAACAAAGTGAAAAGACAACCCACAAATTTTTTTGTTTATTTTATTTTATTTTATTTTATTTTATTTTTCAACAAATAATACACTGCATATATTCTTCTTAGTGGTTAATTGCTGTACAAGATGCAGACTTGTGATCCTACTTACAAACACCAGTAGAAAAAATCATTCTATTCATTAAGAGAATGCAACTATATATCTATCCCAACCACTTTGAATACACAGATACAAAATGGACATTCATAGTTATACCCCATTTTTTTAAAGTTCCGTTGTTGAATATTATAGGTGTGTAAACTCAGCAAAATATTCTAAAAGAGTCCAGTAGCCCATAATAGCTTTGGGTCTTCTGTTTAATTGGCAATGTCAGAAATTATTGACGTGAGTCCCCCACAGCTCAACATAACAGCATGGCTTTATTTCCTGTATTTCATCTTCATACTTTTCTACTGGATGGTTAAGACCAAGGTAAAGCAGGACCTATGCAACAAGAGTTGTAGCTTTTTGACAACACACAAATTTTGAAAAAACTTAACTAATAAGCTTTCAGAGAAAGGTCTGCTCTCTAGAATTTATAAAGAACTAAAGAACGTTAGGGCCCCTATATTTAAAGACCCAATCTATCAATGGGCATCCGAGATGAACACACACTTCTCAGAGGATGAAATTAAAGGAGCAAATAAATATATGAAAAAATGCTCCTCATCACTAGCCATCCCTGAAATGCAAATTAAAACAACAGTGAGATATCATCACACCCCAGAAAGAATGGCAATCGTAAAGAAATCACCCAACAACAAATGTTGGAGAGGCTGTGGTGAAAAGCGAACCCTTCTCCACTGTTGGTCAGAGTGTAGACTGGTGCAACCATTATGGAAATCAGTGTGGAGACTCCTTAAAGAACTGGGACGGGAAATCTCATTGAAGCTTGCTATCCCCCTACTGGGAATTTTCCCTGAGGAACTTAAAGTGTCATATCATAGTGATATATGCATACCTATGTTTATAGCAGCACAATTTATGATAGCCAAATCTTGGAAACAACCAAGATGCTTGTCACATGTGCAATGGATGAAATAGATGTTGTATTTTTTATACAATGAAGTATTACTCAGATATAAAGAATGATAAACTTGAAGCCTTCATGTTTAAGTGGATACCACTTGAAGATATACTTATAAGTGAAATAAACCAGACCCAGATGTGTAAATATCATATTGTCTCCAGCATATAAGAACTCAAAAGTAGAATTACAAATAGAAAGGTATGACACAATTTAAAAGGAAAGTGAGAACTTGAGGATTGGACAATGAAGAGTGGGTAAGGAGAAAAACTGGAAAACATGACAGGGGCAAAGCCTTACATTTACACGCATGAGATGGGTAAGGCAATGATCCTGAGAATGATCAGCAAGTTTGTGAAACTAGCAGTTAACTGGTAGGATTCTCACCCTGACTAACTATACGTGCTGATTCCTGTGTACCAAGCAGCTGCACTGAAGACAGCAATATGTAATAGAAGAATCATATTTGGAATGCCTGTCATTCTGGTCTTCTAAATACATACTTCTTGTCATGACCTACCAGCTACTATGATACTGTCCCTAAAGTAAAAGTTTTTTTCTTTTTTTCTTTAAAAAAAGAGTAATAAATGAAAAAAAGACACAAGAAAAAGAAAAAAATGACACAGTTCTGTCCTGTTATAATTCTGTATATGGTCAGATTTCTAAATTTCTTTGTGAAGATATGTAAATGCAGGGGAAGCCGTGGCTGGGAAAGGGGAGGCCATGGCTTGGAAAATGGCGGACCAAAAGGTGGGAGAGGAGAAGCTTGAGAAGTTGAAGCAAGCTGTAGCCACCGGAGGACTTGAAGAAGAAGCAGAAAAACCTGTGAAAACTAAGACTGGTTCTTCCAGTAATGGAGGGGAAAGTTCCAGTTCCAGTGCTGAGAAGCGATCAGCTGAAGAAGAAGCTGCAGACCTCCCAACAAAACCTACAAAGTTCTCCAAGTTTGGATTTGCAATAGGTAGTCAGACATCAAAGAAAGCATCAGCTATATCCATCAATCTTGGATCAAGTAAGCCTAAAGAAACTGTTCCAGGGGCTGGTGAGATGGCTCAGTGGTCTAGAGCACCTACTTAGAACAAGCTAAGCTAAGCGGAGCACAGGGACCGCGGTTCAATCCCCCAGCACCGCATGCCAGCCAGCCCGCCCCCTGGAGGGCTGAGCTGGCCACACACACAAAATAAATGAATAAATAAATAAATAAATATTAAAAAAAAAGAAACTGTTCCAAATCTTGTTCCCAAAACCCTTTCAGTAGCAGCAGCTTTTAATGAAGATGAAGACAGTGAACCAGAGGAAATGCCTCCAGAAGCAAAGATGAGGATGAAGAATATTGGAAGGGATACACCAACATCAGCCAGACCAAACTCTTTCAATAAAGGGAAGCATGGGTTTCTGATAACCAGAAGCTATGGGAATGAAATATAAAATCTCATCTTGGAAATGTCCATAACCAAGACAATTAAATGATGTGTTTTGAATTAGGGTATGGGGTGGGTGTAAAGTTAAAAGGAACAGTTTCCTTTTTTAAAAATGGTATAAGACTATCTTTGGAGCCACTTTTGCTTTTGCTTTTTCATTTTTCTTTTTAAGATTGAGTGGTACATTAATAAGTGAGAGTTTGAAATTAGAGGTAATTTATGTTTTATATACAGATTTCAAGACATTTGCTAATTTTGTAGTTTTCATGTGATTAGTTTCCAAAGGTTACAGATAATAAAAGAAATCAGAAATGGTACCTTTTTAAGAATTGCATATTTTTTTAGACACACTATTAGCACTTTAAAAGGGAGGCAAAAAGTTACTGTCTGTGTAAAGCTACAAGCAGTTCTACAATCTGAGGTACAGGATCTCAGGATAAATCCTGAGGGGATTTCACTGACCTTCTCAGACCCAAAAGCTACAACTCTTGTGGCATAGCTCCTGCTTTACCTTGGTCTTAACCATCCAGCAGAAAAGTATAAAAATGAAATATAAGAAGTAAAGCCATGCTCTTATGTTCAGTTGTGGGGGACTCAGGTCAACAATTTCTGACATTGCCAGTCAAGCAGAAGACCCAATACTATCATGGGCTACTGGACTCTTTTAGAATATTTTGCTGAGTTTACACACCTATAATATTCAAATAATGGAACTTAACAAAAAAGTGTATACAGATGAATGTCCATTTTGTATCTGTGTATTCAAAGTGGTTAGGATAGATATATAGTTACATTCTCTTAATGAATAGAGGGATTTGTTCTAATGGTGTTTGTAAATAGGATATCAAGTCCGCATCTTGTACAGCAATTAACCACTAGGAAGAATGTATGCAGTGTGTTATTATTGAAACTGTCCTACAGATTTGATTTGAAACTGTCTCATTGCTATTTGTTTATCAATAAAATTATGGAGAAAAAAAAAACCTCCCTCACTCCCGAAACTGGCTCCTGGGGACAGCCTTACAGAAAAGGGGAGAGTGTCATATCAGAGAGAAAGTACTGCTTGGCTTTTGACTGGAAGTAAACCTAGATGAAATTAAACAGCATTTTTCCCCCTCTGGGATTTGTTTTGTGTCAAGTGGCCATATAAAAGGTACTGCACTGCTGTCAGTGGATACAGATGCTTAGCTCTTCTACAGAAAGTAATTTAAAAAATTTTTTTTATGTGAAGTATTGAGTATTTGAAATAGCCTATTTCACCTTAATAGTCCTGTCTACCTTCATCAGTCTTCAAAGAACAGCCATTTGCTACCAAAGTAAATTAGTATTTTAATGTGCTTCTCTTGGTTTTTGTTTATTAGCTAGTTGCTGTAAGCATTTCCACCAGAACTTGAGGCAAATCATAAGGAAGCTGTTTCTTTTAAAATATAGACCACCACCAAAAATTCAAATGTACATACTGCTTAAGTATTTGGTTGGTTTTTATTTTTTAAAAGGTATAAACACCAAAAAGTTTTAAAATTTTTAAAAGATAAAAAGCAGTAAGATGCATTTTCTGTAACTTTTTCTATGCGTTTATGTTACTAAGTTGTTAAATCGAATTTGAATTGAATTCATTACAGAATTTATTAGAACAGTTAATGTGGTTTATTTTAAGTGTACACATATTGACCAGTGAAGCATATTGTAGGTACTGAAAATGAAAGAAAATGCATCTTCAAACATATTTTATTGAATGGCTCATCACATATACTCTTAAATCTGTGTATTGTAAGCTGTTTGTTTTGTATTTTTGTATTGTATATGGACTTTCTAATGTGACAGTTAAACACATCTTTAAAAGCATAGTTTCAGGCAGGCAAAAGAAAAATAATACAATTATTTCTTTTTTTTTTTTTTTTTTTTTGCAGAACTGGGAATTGAACTCAGGCCCTTGCACTTGCCAGGGAAGCGCTTATTCCACTGAGCCATGTCCCCAGCCCCCTAATTATTTCCTTCAGAACTCTTACAATGTTAAATTTGGAGGTAGCTTCAGACTATTTTATTGGTGATAATTACTTGCTGATCTTTTTTAATGGGTAGTAACTCCAGAGAATAAACCTATGCATATGCCTGATAAGTTGTTCTCAGATTAAGCCCCAAGTAAAACAATGGAATGTATATAGAACTACTAGTTCTTACATGATTTAATTATATCAAGATACATGAATTTAACTTCAACTTACTTTTATGTAGGCAAACAACTCATTTTTGTCCATTTTACTATTTGTTAACATAGCATCCCTCTCCTACATACTCTTTTCTTGACCCAAATGAAATACTAATGTAAGGTCAAGATGAGAGAGAAATGACTGAGATGAATGTCTTTACTAAAATAACCAATAAATTTTGTCAAACTCAAAAAAAGATAGGTAAATGCTTGTTTCTAGTTTTTTTTAAAAGTATTTTTCCTTAATATTCTGTAAGGACTTAAAGTTTAACACATCAATACTCGATGGAAAATACCTGTTCCATGATATGCCTAAGATGTTTGATATTTAGACAGATAGGTTAAACTAACCTAAGTTAGCAGATCAAAAATTGGAGAAAAAGAAGAGTTGAAATGTCAGTCAACATTTTGGCCCTAGCCTTTCAAGGTCAATGAAGCCTCAAGACATAGGACAACCTGTACTATAACATCATGTAATTCAGTAGTTCCCCAAATTTTCTGATCAAGGAGATTATGAAGCCAGAGAAATGTGATCAATGATGTATAGTGTGCCCAAGGAGAGTCATATTGAGAGAAAACTTTCTCACAGACTTTCACAGAAAGCAAATTGGTCAAGCAATGGCCGTGACTCATCCACATGACTGACACCAACAAAGGATCTACAAAGTGTGGTACAGGGATACAGGATAAATCCTGAGGGTACTTGACTGACCTTATCAGACACAAGAGTTACATTTCTTGTTATATAGGTCTTGCCTTTTCTTGATCTTAACCATCCAGTAGAAAAGTATAAAAACAAGGTATATAAAGTAAAGCCATATTAATATGATGAGTTGCGAAAGGCTCAAGTCAATATCTTCTGAGGAGAACCCACTACTACTATAGACTGCTGAACAGTGTTAAATTGTTTAGCTGAATTCAAGCACCTATAGTATTTAGATTCCAGTAGAATAACCACCTCTGACAGGACTAAACAAAAAAAGGGATACAAAGGGGGGACCATTTTGTATTTGTATATACAAAATAGGATAGATATACAGCTAGTTTTACTTAATCCAATGAGAAGAAAGATGTGTACTACTAGTGTTTGGACAGGATATCCTGTCTGCTTCTTGTACTATGGATAATCACTAAGAAGATAAAAATGTACAATGCATTGATTATTGAAACTGTCCTATTAATCAGCTTTGAAACTGTCTCATTCATATTTGTTTCTCAATAATACATAAAAAAGAAAATTGGAATAGATGGCCTCTACTCCAACCTGATAAAAGCCATTCATGACAAACCAATGGCTGACATAATTCTAAATGGGGAAAAATTGAAATCTTTTACTCTCAGATCTGGTACAAGACAAGGATGTCCTCTATCACTCCTATTAAATATAATTCTGGAATCACTAGCTACCGTCATTAGACAAGAGAGAGACATAAAAGGAATAAGAATAGGTAAAGATGAAATTAAATTATCATTATTTGCAGATGACATGTTACTTTACTTGGAAGACCCAAAAAAATGCCATCAAGAAGCTACTAGAATTAATACACAAATTCAGTAGCATAACAGGATACAAAGCCAATTCTCAAAAGGCAATAGCATTCCTCTGCACAGATAACAAACACACTTAAAGGGAAATTAGAGACACAATACCTTTTACAAGAGCACTGCAGAAAATGAAATATCATGGAATTAATCTAATTAAGGAACTCAGAGATCTTTTGAAGGAAAATTACAGTACTCTTGAAAAGAGATTGTAGAGTATTTCAGAAAATGGAAAGATATTCCCTGCTCCTGGATAGGAGGAAAAAACAGTGTGAGGATGGCTATACTCCCAAATTTGATGTACAGATATAATGCAATCCCTATGAAACTACAATGAACATACCTCACAACCTAGAGAAATCCTTCCTAAAATTTATTTTGCACCAGAAAAGACCTAGAACAGAAAAGGCTCTCCTGGGCAACAAAGACAAGGCAGGAGGCATTACAATTCCTGACTGGAAATTATACTACAATGCTACTGTAGTAGCAGTAACATCAGCCTGACACTGGGAATAAAATAGTCCTGAGGATCAGTGGAGTAGATTAGGAGGCACAGAAGCTTCTATGAACACACTCAGCCACCTGGTCTTCGACAAAGGGCCAAACACACTTACTGGAAGAAAAATAACATCTTTAAGAAATTGTGCTAGAATAATTGGCTCTCTACATGCGGAAAACTAAAACCTGACCCAAGACTATCATTATGTACCAAGCTAAAGTCAAAATGGATTAAAGATTCAAACGTTAAAACAGAAACACTAAGTCTCCTGGAAGAGAAAATAGGAGGAACACTTGAAGACATAGGGGTAGGCAAAGTGTTCATGAACAGAAATCAAATTGCATGGGTATACTTAAAAGAATTAACAACTGGGACCTCCTCTTATTGAGAAGTTTTTGCACTTCAAAAGAAATTACCAACAAAGTAGAAAGACAACCCACAAATTTGGAGAAAATCTTGACTAATAAATACTCAGATGGGGGTCTGCTCTGTAGAATTTATAAAGAACTAGAAAACATTATTGCCCCAATAAAACCTACTTAGAAAAAGCTAAGCTAAGCAAAACAGGGACCACAGTTCAATCCCCCAGCACCACATGCCAGCCAGCCCCGCCCCCTGGTGGGCTGAACTGGCCACACACACACACAAAATAAATAAATAAATAAATAAATAAATAAATAAATAAAGAATTTGTTAAGAAAAATGGACTGGAAATCCCATTCAAACCAGATAACCCCAAAATTGAAAGTCCCAATCC